TTTATTGGTACTTAATGCTTTAAATATTGAGATTTTTCCTTCTGAAGCCACAGACTAAATGTGGGGACAATTCATGTGGAGTTGCTTCTAGAAGTTTGTCATGCCTTACTCATTTCCTATTTCATATTTTGCAGTTCTTTTATGAGCTTTCTAAAGAATTATTGTATTATTTGGCGGCACACAGTTCTGTCTTTTGTCCTCAGAATCAGTAACATTCCTCTTTTCTGGTTTTCTGTGGTTATTGATCAGTTTAGATTTTGTTTCTTGGTTTGCCAGTAATCATTGCAAATTCACCTTATAACAAATGGATTGGTAAAAGATGTTCATTGATAAAATCACTTTAAACAGGCCTTAAATTAAATGAGTGTTTAGAGCTGATCTATAAAAACATAATTGTGATCTGCCTTCAGCTATTTGTTTCCCCCCTGCTTGCACATGGAATGGCACTGAATGCAGGAGCTTGGGGCAAGCGGTGTGGTTGGGTTTGGAGCAGACCAAAGCTATATCTGGAAAGTTGGAGGGAGGATGTGAATACCTGTTTCAAAGTGTGGGAAAACCTTTCTTGAGAGCACAATATTTCTGTATGTGTACCTGGATCACATGGCTCTTGGGGCTTGGAGTTACAATTCAAGTGAGTTAGTGTGTGCAAGGTGTAAATTGGCAAAGTGTAGTAGATTTTAAGTTAGACAACCTTTGTGTCTATTTTTGGGTTCTACCATATAGGGAGAAGAGATTTTAAGTCTTTGGGGGATGTGAGGTATTCTATGTGTGTCTGAATCAAGTGAAACAGGCTATACTTGATCACCGAGTGTACACACAGCTAGGCATTGGGAAGGAAACACTGGATTTTTACAGCAAATCGTTCTACAATGGGCAACGTTTGCAGGGAAAAAAAAACCTCAAACATCTGGAAAATTTTTCTGGAAGGAAGCATAAGTTACATTTGATGGTCATTGGCATATGTATCTCTTTCTCCATAAAGTCTTTGATTCCCCTGTTCCTGGTGAAGATAATAAATTAACTGATTCTACAATGGGCAACATGTTTGCAGGGAAAAAAAAACCCTCAAACATCTAGAAAATTTTTCTGGAAGGAAGCATAAGTTACATTTGATGGTCATTGGCATATGTATCTCTTTCTCCATAAAGTCTTTGATTCCCCTGTTCCTGGTGAAAATAATAAATTAACTGAAGAAAAAGTGATTTGTACTATGAAAAAATATGTTGCCCTAATTTGACTCCACTGGGCAACAAAGTCAAGTGAATCTGAGTGGTGCCTTTGCAAGGAAGATTCCCGAAGAATGAGTACAGCACAAGTTCTACTCTCCTGTCTAGCACCTTGGAAATAAGCCTTTCTCATGCTTCAGTTGCAGGATATTGAATTTGCATAATGTTTGCTGTTGGTGATGAAAGATTTGGTTTTGCTAGTGTCTGTTCAAATTCATGCTCAATGTCTTAATTAACATGTTGTGGTTTGTCTCCATACAAAATTTCAGTTAGTACATGGAGGCATGAGCATTTCTAATCTAGGAGTTTGAATATCTTCATACTCAGTTAATCCCTTAAAACACTACTTTAAGAAAAGTTCATAAACGTTTTGGGGAGGGAAGGAAGCTCTAGTCTTTGCTTGCTTAAACATTTGTTTGCTGGAATAGGTATTTAAGGAATATTTTAGTTATGTGAACAACTGTTGAGACTTTGATTTTATAATGATACCACAATGAAAGAAATAACGGAGACTATTTGGGAGGAACTAAAGTTACAGGGATGCAAACTACAGATAGAGGCATATGAGGAAACAAGATTTCTTTCTTCTCTGTAGAGCAGCTGCCAGTTTGACAAGTTTATGACAGATGGTTCATAATTTCAAAAAAATTTCAGAGACTGAAGAAAATGGCCTCCTATTTTAAACCAATTTATTAGAAATGCTTCACTAAAAGTCTCTAAACTTTCTGAGCCTTGAAAAAGATATCTAACTTGGCAAGGGCAATCACCTCAAGGTTAGGTGATTTTTGTCTTTATGATGAAAGTCTACTTAGACATTCTAAGTTTCTTATTGTGTTCTCTGTACAGGATTTCAGTAATTAATAAATAGGTTTTTTGAGTATCCATCACTCCAGAGCTGTGCAACCTGAGTGGAATTTTTTTCTGGCAACTTCTCCTTGGTTGCTGTGGTGTGCTGTAGTTGTCAAGTGTTGAAGCTGAAAGCAGCTTGGCATTTGACATCAAAGCAACATAGAAAAGGAAGGCAGGAGTATGCTGTGTTTTCCCAGTACTTCCCTATTTTCTGTTAAATAATTAAAATAAAATGGACAAAGTGTTTACCCTAACCCTGTAACAGAAAAAAAAAAATCTTATTACTGCTACCAGTTACTTCTTCATATGCATTAAAATATTATGATTAATTCTCTATGACCATGTATTAAGGGTTTGTGTGTTTCTTTAAGGCCAAACCATGAAGCTTTCCTGGCTTCCCATCATGGTCCTCAACTGCTGGCTGGGTGAAAAGCAGTTCATTGGCTCTTTTGAGCAATGCTTTGCTGACTGTCATCGATTTGATGATTGGTCAGTTGAAGAGGGCAAATAGACTCGTATTTTCATAAAGGTTGTAGAAAATAAATGTCTTGGATGATGCTGTTATCTCTTGCTGAAATCCAGTACATCCATAAGTTACTTGGTGGGGAACTAGGAGTAAACAGAAACAGTGAGCATGATCACACTAAACTTGGTTCCTTTTTTTTAAATAGGATGCTAACTAAAATTTAAGTTATGCGTGTAAGTAACGTGGACGGTTTTAGTATCAATGCAAAGAAGTTGTGCAGGATAATGCATCTAAAAGTGAATTCCATTATGGAAATTATTTAGTTTTAAAACTACTTAGTCTTCTTCAGTAGTGAAGTGAGAGAAATGTATTGGACATCACACCTTTAATTTTTATTCTTAAAGGAATTGCTGAAAAATAAAAACAGCAAGAAGCTACCAGTTTTAAGAGGGCTTAAAAGACGGGGGTCAAATTGTGACCTCAGTTTGATTTGCTTTAACTGTAATATTGGCTGCTACTAACAGTTTAATAATCTTTCTTTTGGAATTGGCAAAAGATGGAGAAAACTGTTTTCCCTCTTCTTTTTTTAAATTTTTTTAAAATTTGAATGCAATGGCCTGTATTTTGCACAAAGTTATAGAAACTATGAGGAGGCAGAAATGCCTACAGATATCCTAGTTTCTTTTGACAAATTCATGTATTGTGTCAGATACCATGCCTTAGATCAAGGGGGATTTTCAGCTTTAAAAGAGGCTTACCCTGGGCAAAAGTGGGAATGAGGGTCTGTTCACAAGACAAACTGGTAGTTTGTCTTTCAGACTGAGAAGTGATGGGGTGTTGTGTGGAAGGCACACAAATTAGTTTCAGTGAGTATTCTTTGAGCCTGAAGCCTTCTTGAGTCACAAATTAGGAAAAGTCTGGATATACCTCAAAGACAGAAGACAGGTGAAATTTTGATAAGAAATAATACCTTGAGTGTGGAAGCGACTTTCACATGTCAGTCTGCTTTACCATGTGCTGTGTGTCCCTTCATGTGTTTCTTCTTTCTTTCTATCTTTGAAAGTACTTTTTATTCAAAAGTTATTTTAGTGTCTTACCAGAAAAAAAACTTGAATATATGTCAAGAAGACTGCTTGCTAAATGATTTTGTATGCACCACGAAATACTCTTCAATCTTTAGGAACTGGACTAGGCACCGTGAACTAAGCATAATTACCAAGTTTAATATGAAATCTTCTGTTCCCTATGTTTTTTTTAGGATTTTTTTCCCTTACTAGTTAATATATATTAGAGGTTGTTCTTTGGGTTAAATCTTGGAGAGATTTTGCAGAAAACCTATTTAATTCTGTAGATAATTACATTTCTTTAATGTGTTTAATAATCTTGAAATATGTATAAAAATGCTTTTTTTACCTGATGTTCCACAATTCTTTCCTTGCATAATTATGGATTTTGGAACAAAGTCTATGTTACGTACAGGAGGAAATGGTTCCATAATTATACTAATGTTTGCATAATTAACAAGCTGCTTGCCAGTTTTAACTGACAAATTCCAAGTTGCTTCTGCATGAAGGGAAAAAAAACCATAAAAAAGGCAACTCCTGTTAGTTTTTCCTTTCATACTTCTTACAGGTGTTGAAACTATTTATTTCTAATTTGCAAGTGAATTTATGTGTTTTTATTCTGATAGGCAGTGCTGTACAGATTTGGAGGGCTGGCTTCCTCCACCTATGCTCTGGGGCTGTTTTGGGGGGCTGCCCTCAAGCTCTGCCAACAAATCTCATTCCTGGCTCGTACAATCCCCTGCTGCTTCTGCCGCAGTTCTGGGCAGCCCTTCAGAAGTGACTGCCAATAGCACTGACTTCTTCCAAGTGGTGCAGTAGTTTTCTGGTGCTCACAAATGGGGGCTGAGGAAAGACCACCAAAACTTATTTCCACTTGTGACCCAAGGCAAGGTTTGAACTCCAGTTTCCGCTGAAAAATGGCAAGTGTGCCTTTGGCCTTCTGTACTGCTCAGCTGCGTGGATCTAATGCTTTACATAGCTACTGAATACAATGTTGATGTCTAAATAAAAGCTAAAAACACTTAGTCATTTTAAGATCCTGAAATTAAATGGTTGTAATAAAAACATGAAGGAGAATAGTTGACGTGGCACTTATAAAGTGAAAATGAAAGTGTATCTATGTGTATACATGCATATTTGTTATTTCAATTTCTAAGTGGTCTTGTGTGTTTTCCTCACAGTATCTATATATGTTTCATGCATAACTGTTTGTATTAAAAAACCCATATGTAGCATTCTTTCACTTTCATTTAAAATCTGTGAATCACAACAAAAATGCTGTAAGAACATCTAAGGTAGATAATTAAAATATAATTAAGTTTAAGTGCCTTGGTGAAGGAATATAAAAATATTTAAATTCAACAGGCTAGTACATTTGCAGTTTTCTTTTATTAGGTGTGAAATCTAAGAATCCCCTGCCAACTCTTGAGGGCTCAATCCAGAATGTTGAATTGAAGTACTGCGGCACATCATTGGTCAAATGTGCCTCTGGGACCGTGGGATCAATAAAAATTTGTGCCAAAGCCCCAGGTATGTGCAGCTGGACCATGTAAAACTTTATTGCCTGTATAGGAGAATTGGCCTTGCTTTTTACAAGGGAGTTACTGAAACAAGAATTTACTCATTGTTCCTATGAATCAGAGAGGGGTTTTTGTATTCTGTTTTGAGGGTTTTTTGTTATTATTAAGTATGTCATGATGATCCAGTCTTGTCTCAGTATAGTCAAATTTTACACTGAATAAAAAAATATAGATTTTTTTTTCTCCTGTGACAAACACTAATCAGGAAGCATTCAAGAAATAAGAAAAATACAAAATACATTAACCTAGCTTTATCCTTAGCATAATTTTGGTGTGTTTTCTTGATTGTTTAATGCCTCACTTTCCATTGGTGCTACAGTTACGTATTTTGCTTGTCAGATTTTTGAGGACCCTGTGATTTTTTTTTTTACTTTTTTAATACAGTTTTTTCTGAGGGGCATGTGAGAACTTATCAATGTCTATGATGTCTTTATGGATAAAAAGCAGCTAAGGTCAAGAACATTAAAAATGGGGTGTCTTTAAATGGAGTTCATGGTGATGTTTAAGTAGATTATTATTATTATATTATTATAGTTATAATTATATATATATATTATTATATTATTATTAGATTATATTATAAAATTGGGAAGAATATTACTGTTTTAAAGATAATAAATTACTTTATTTGAAATCCTCCTGGAAGTCAAGGCTTTTACAGGATAAACATTAAGTATCTTACTGGTCTTTCTATTTACTCTTTTAATTCTGTATTCACAACGTAAATTAATAGATGTTCTCTTTGGACTAGTGAATGTTTGTCTTGAAAATTTATCTCGTTACACTGAAAGCAGTAAGGAATCTACTTTTTATCTTAGGTGATGGTGGAAAAGAGAAGCTGATTCCTTTAATTCAAGGCCCTTCTGACACCAGAGACTTACACAGCAGTAAATGGCTCAATGAGAGTAGAAAGCCAGAATCTCTCTTAGCTCCAGATTTGGTAGCCTTTACAATCCAAATTCCACAGTGTATGGACTACTGCCATAATTCTGGTAAGTACAAAACTCTTGTTAAGCTGGTGTCACATTACATTTTTCCTATCCAATGTGATTTTCAAAAGAGGTGCTTGATATAAAATGTGCCAAATGTCAAAGTATCTTCTACACACACTGCACACATTATAACTTCAGCTCACTGTGAGACAAAAGAACTGAAAGCTGCATTTTGATTTATGTCTTCTTCAATAAGGAGTGCTTCATTAACTTTGGTTGCCTTTTAAGATAATGATACGAAACTTTGGTAAACTTCAGGCAGGGGAGGGAGGAGAGGAAGGGTTCATGTTGAAAATATTAGTTCCATTCTCTCTTCCTGGTACTGAGTTGGCCTTCTTATACAGAAATTGACATACTGGATTCTAAATGGTTCATATAAATTTGCAGCATAATTTATTATTAGTAAGTTGTTTATAATAAAATTTGCTAACAATAAAAAATAATTTAAAAAATACTGCAGGGCACACATCTAACCTCATCAAATTAGGTGTTGTGGTGGCCTTAAATGAGATGTTAATAATTTGTGAGAGTTGTTTGGCTTAATTTAAGGGTGTTGTTGACTTTGTGGGCATAAATACTTTTACCTGAAATTCTTATGGTTTCTGTGGTCTTTAAACAAAACATTGGTCTGTTTAAAGCAACACTGACAATTTTGAAATATGTCTAGTTTAAAATAACTCACGTAGTTTGTGAAATACACATGGAACTGGGTTTTGCTCTCAGTATGATGCTTCTTAAAAACCATGCTTTCAAGTTTTTTAAAGCTTATTCTATGGCCATGCTAGACATGGAATGAAAAGTGGGGAAAATACAATCCAAAAAAGTATCTAGGTTAAGGAAAGTAAAAGAAATACCTGACCCCAATATTATGAAACACAGAAGTAACATGAACATTTCGTATGTTTTTTTTCCTGTATTTTTTTCCTGTGTAATGATTCTTGAATGTCATTTGTCTGAAAAGTAACAGTGAATTTATTACTGTGCATATGTAAGAAACACTTGCAATTTTTATGTGCATATGTAAGAAACACTTGATTCTTTCACAGAGTAAATATTTGTAAGCACTGTGCACTCCAACAGTTGTTAGGTTATTTTTTCAGTGATTATACTTATGTGTTTTTTGGAGAGCATCATGTTGAAAATGTTTACAGCAGTGTTATTATAACAATTATCTTCAGGTCCTGCTCCTAAAGCATTGCCAAAAAGCAGTTCATGATTCAATCATATCTGAATTAGTCAGATGAAGCTAAAATTTGTTGCACCTGTTGATTCACTTAAATACCTTTTAAATGTTCGTAACAACAATATTTATGACTATGACTAATTTACACATTTCTTGCCTTTTTTGAGAATTTTTTTGTTTAATTTTCTGATCTTTGTCTCAGTCTGTGAATTATAATTTAAAGGCTGTATGGATATCTATACTATACACTTAATGCTTTTGTTACAGGTCATAAGAATCACATACATTTTGTTCATCATTATAGATGCTCCAGTTAAATGGTTGGGAGTCTTTGTTGGGCTGTGACAGGAGGTGCTTAATGAGAATTAAGGCATTGACAAATGAAGTGCTGGCCAGGCTCACATTCAGAGATTTTGAGATACAAACCTTTTTTTTCATAATAGACAATTGTCTGTGGCACCTGTTTTGTAGATAAATGGATATACATTAAAAATGTGAAGGTTTTAGAGTTAAAAGTGTTCTGAACACTTCACCTGCCCCCACAGTGTCTCAGTGAAGTTGTAATGATTCCGTGTACGCAATGGCAGTCACTAACCTGCATGTTCAGGCTCTAGCTCTGCTCCTCTAGATCTGTCAGGTGAGGAGTGACAAATGAGAGGAAAAATCTGTCTGATTTGCTATAGCTTTGGTCTCATTCAACAGAAAGAATGGTATACTGCAAATTATTTACATTTTTTTACATAAATTAAACCAGGAGTGATTAATGTTTCATTTGTCTCAAGTTCTTTACAAAGGATCAGCAAAGCAAAAGCCTTTGCTTTCAAATACTTGCTGAAGAAGCTGGGGTAATTTTAATGCAGGGGATATGGCTATCATTTTCATTATTACTGTGAAAATTACATATAGGAAAAACATGGAGTGCTTTGAGAGCATAAAAATGCATTTGCTGTCAGTTGCATTCACTTCTGGGAGTTTAAAAAGCTATACTGGATAATTTCACAGAAGAAACTGATCCCTTGGGAGTAAAAGGTTTTTTAAAGTTGTACTACTGGAGGTGATTGTGCAGTACTGAAGTTGTGCTGTTTGTGAAATTTTTCCTAATAGTGTTGCAGATAGTGTTCTGTGGTAGGAATTTGGACTAATTAATTAATTTAATTGAATGGAAAACAACTTGATCAAAAATTAAAGCAGCTGTTTGGATATAAAATGCTAAGGAGGAGGTTGTGCAAATGGCATGGGATATTGAATAAATCAGGGCATATTCACCAAGAGAACAGGGAGGGGACTGTTCTGCCTCCTCTCCTTGTTGCATCAGCACCTGTCTACAGTCTTGTATCACTTGAGCCATATGATCCAGGGTGATCAGCATGGTTGTGCAACTTCCTTTTACTGCTTGTTTGTATGTGGCCCTGCAAAGTTACAGGATGTATTTACAGTCTGAGGATAGAGCATTTGACACAATCTCTTCCTTTTTGCTATTTCACTTGTGCTGTTGAGAGGAAGAGGAAAAAGAATATGGTTCTAGCAGTACCATACTGTATTGAGTACAACCATCAAAGGAAAAAACTCTAAACTGTACTTTCAAAAAGGGCAGCATTTAGAGCATGTGATGTGTAACATTTACAGTGTATAACAAGTATAAAACAAGTGCATACACTTATGATTACTGGTCTTACTGTTTGATGCATCAAGTGTCATTATCACATGGAAAACTGATCACCTATGGCAAAGGAAGTATTTAGGGACAAAGAATATAAACCTTATTTTTTTTTTTAGTCCTTATGCTGTAATTTTAATTTTGGATACTTTGATTGTATGAAAAACTGCCCCAGGTATCTCTGTGCATAGTTGTAAAAATCAGTGAATATGTTCCTCAGTCTTTAAACTGCAGCATATAAAATAAGTACAAGAGAGGAGATTATTCCATTACCCCAGGGCTTGGGAAGGTCTTCTTACTCTTTCTCTGAAATAACCCTGGCTTTATTAACCCTGGGAGCAAGCTGCAGACCTTGTTTGTTTCACCTGGCCTTTGAGAGAAAAGGGAGATTTCAAAATGAATGCTGGTGTTAGTGGCTAATTATGAACAGCTGCTGAATAGATGAGGTGAGCTGATTAAGCTCTATTTGGTTTGCCATATTGAATAATTGAGAGTGCGTGCACAGCCAGTGTATGGACAGCTTTATTACAAATAAATCAAGAGGAACAAAAATAAAAAGTACAATTAATAAAGTTTTCTTTGAGATCAGCTTAAATAGTCAATAATGCAGCAGTGAAATAAAGGAGTAAACAAAAGTACTTGTGTTAATATCATGCTCATATGTGTCAAATTTATACACACAGTGGAGCAAAGCAAGAGTGGGAAGGCTTCTCTAAGTTGTCCAAGCTGCATAAAGGCTGAAGATCAAACATTCAACCTTATAAAAGTTGGTATTTCTTGTTTAAGTGATACATTTCTCAAACTTTCAAAACCTTTAGATTTTTTTTCTTCTATCAGTGTTTTGATTTAGATAAGATCACTTATTCCATTCAACCCCTTCCCACGCCAAAAGGAAAAAATAACTGAAGAAATGATATCTTCAAGTATGAAAAAATTGCCATAGGAGTTGTACCAGCAGGAACATCAAATTTTTTATTAGTGTA